ACCGACATGGCATCTGACGGTCAACGGAATCGAAGACAGCCTCCAGGTTGAGAACAATAACCACCATTCTAGCGATGGTGGTTACATGCTCAGGATGAAACCCAGCTTAGTTCTCACGGATGTAACTTCTGCAGTCGGTCAGTCTGTGCAAGACTGTCCCAAAGGGCACATTAGACGCTAAAACCACCAGATTCGTTTTCAAAAGGCCATTAAGCCCTCTTTGAGGATGAAGATCACAGAAGAGACGCTTCCCTCCATCGCTATCTTGTTCTGGCTCCACGCAATTCACAGTCTGTTCGTCATGCTCCCTGAAGGCAACGAACGGTCAATCCCATTATGTCGCGGATCCGTCACCCCCAGCTGTCTGCGGTGTCACGGGGTTGCGACAAGCGGTCATTTTTACAACTGTCGAGTCCTGGTTAAAACGAAATTGGCCTTGGAATATCGGCCCCATACTTGCTCCGACCAACGTCCTAATTCTCTACTCATTCCAGATATCAGGCTCGGTGCTCATAGACTAGAGACTATACGAGCTACGTACAATTGATTTGTGCCTGAAAAGGCTATGGACGGGAGATTCATGCTACCCTTGAATGACTCATTCACGATTACCTTCAAACAAACTGTTGATGAGTTTCGATCATTCCACATTTAGGTTCAATCAACAGCTTTGGGCTGGGTTGAATAGTTCCCCTCACCTTTGACTCTTCATCAGCTCCTCGGGGTATTTTTAAAAAAGAGTCAAAAGATAAATAAGCGCAAAGAATAGTAATGTGACAGGTGATCGCAATTTGTTGACCCGTCCACCGGAATTGCTCTTCCTAAAGAGGATTCGATCATCGTGGTAGTGAATAAATCCGGAAGTCGGGACCTGGGAGAATCTCTTTCCCGATCTCGAAGAAAGCGACACTACTTTCTGCCTCCCTGGTCCCGCGGCCATTTTCTAACATTTCTTTTCTCTTCCTGGTTCTCCGTCCTGTAGAACAATCCAGACGCGATGATCTCGAGGCCCTCGGACACATGTTCCTTTATTTCCTTCGTGGCAGTCTTCCATGGCAAGGATTGAAGGCAGAGAACCTGCGTGACCGGTACCAGAAGATTGGCGATACGAAAAGGGCCACACCAATCGATGTGCTATGTCACGGCTATCCAGGTTAGTCAGTCAGCCCGCCTGTCCGCCTGTTCGTCGTACAATCAGCTGCCATTTGTTGCTTATTCGACTTGGCCTCGGCTGTCTGTAGCGTCGTTTTGTCTGTCTTTTGTGCGCACGTTTATGTGTGTATGTGTGTTTCATTCCTACGACCTGACTGCCCTTCGCGTATATGCACAGTTTTTTTTGGTTTGATCTCACCTGTATCGATTAGCCCGCCCGTGTTTGTTTGTGTTCACGTGTTTTCCAACTGCGAATGCGTGGTACGCACATTTATCGGACAAGCGTACATCGCTGAGAGGTAATATGTACTGCCTTTTGCTTGTTTTGTTTGTGGTCAAGCCGCGCTCACGATACATCCGCTTCTGGTGCGGAAGCGATTTTTAACGAATGGCTCTAGTTCACTAGCCTCTTCCTCCAAATAAGTAACCGGAAGGTTTATCCTGGTGTGGAATGCGGTAAACCTCCGGAGGGGACAATTCCACGCCGAAGAAGAAGACCCCGAGGTTTCTTCCCTTGTTGTCTGCTCTCGAATAAATAGCTCGCACATGGCCCCCCTTAGAGAACACGTGAATAGTGTTCACGGCCACATGTGTGGTGTGTCAAGTCTCTAGCTGTGTCTGGTTTTCTCCCCATGTCGAATGTAAGCTAACCCCAGCTAAGTGATTCAGATCATCAATCCACTCTCCACACGCAACGCGGGGGTAGCAGCCGCTCAGCTATCTTTCTCTGATTTGGTGATTGCAGGAATCCGTTAGGTGTCTCTGCCTGTGCATCGTGCGATATGATTCTGTCGAGTTTACACGGGACAGCTTTAGGTGGTTCAACGAAAGTCGTTCGCTGCGTGCCTATCAGTGTGTAGCAGAAATGAATGCAAGTCCACGTGGTTTTCAGCGGTTTCACTAATCTGAAATTGTACTTGAAGGTCCCTTCGATTTTTGGTTTACAAACCTGGTGCATCGATTGGTTTCGCACTCACTACTCAACTCGGTTGTGTGTCGACGTCTGCTATTTCACACATCTTCAGACAATAGAGACAAACACAAGTGTACTTTGATAGTTGTTCGATCCGGCCTCATTTGTTCGTTGTGATTCTAAACGACTACACCTCATCCTATCTATTCATCCATTCAGCTACCTACCTGACTACGCGTCTATTTGTTACACTCGGTCGATACCGTCATAACGTATGTGCATGTTGCACACACGCAATTTCACACAGTTGATTACTCCTTGACGCTCTTTTTAACACCAGATCTGGCCGAACTGTTTTCCCATCTATTTCTCTCATTGTCATTGATTGGAAACTGAATTGTGTCTTTGTACATGTCGGTCGACTGCGTATGGTTCGTAAGATAACATTTCGGTTGAAACACCGTCTCGTGAGTGTTCTGGCGTCGATAGGAGTCATCGGTAACTAGTGCGCAGTGGTGCCCAAAGTTATCCGGTGGTGGGAAGATCAACTTCTTCCAAGCTATAGGTCACAAAGATGCGTTCTCCACAGACTCACCGGTTAAAAAAGCAACCAAGATTGTTTGTCTCACGAGCCGACCAACCTGATTGAAACAAGCCAGTTGGACAGACGATCAAGAATCGCAGTCCACCAACCATAACCTTCGCTGCACAAAATATATGGTCGTGACTGAGTTATCTTGACTCACCAACATTACCCGGGTCCAACTTTTCATTGCGGTGCTCTCTCCGAACTCGAGAGCATGCTCAACAAAATATTCGGTCCGATCTAGCCTCCATGGAAGTGTCGTCTTCGTCATTTCACCTACTCAACGTGAATTTCAGCCTCTCCTGTTTGCTGAACTTCAGACAACTTTGATCCACACCTACCCCAGTGATATCTGTCTTCACGCGAAAATGAAAGGACAAAGGGCTAGGAGTATTTAGGTGGTTTCCTCTGCGGAAACGTGAATTAACTTTACTTGTCAAATGAAAAGCCGCGCTCCTTTCAAGTTGATTGAATTTGATGCAGATATCGTGGACAAATTCGTGCACACTGGAAAATCCATTTCCCGAGTCAGAGCCTTGTTCACGAAACGAATGACACGACATCGTCGACAAATCCAAATGGCAGAAATGTGACAGGTCAAAACAAAAATCGACAGGAGTTACACAAATTTAGTCAGAACCAACCGCCTCAGTTTGTCAACTCTCTAGCAAAGTGATGTACGGTCTTCGTGGCACAAGCGAAAACAAACATCTTTTTAGAAAAAGGAATGAATAAAACCATAATCCCGTCCTTAGAACCCGCTGCTCTATTTACTTTTGATGAGATTCGAAGAAGCTCGTTCGCGGAACAACCAAGGATAGGTTCAGAGTTATCTATTTTCAAACGAGTGACAGAGGCTTTGAAACGTAAGCAAATTGTCCAGCTCAGCGAACAAAGCAACGTCCATTTACGCTACCTGAACCACCCACATTCCCCTCTATAGCAGAGACATCCTTCCGCGTGTCTGGGGAACGTAACATTGATCATTAACTGTCTTGATTAAGAAAGTGAAGCCGCTCAACACATCACACACAGAGAGGTGCCATTTCGCGAACATGTTTGTGGAAAATTGAACCCAACTCGAACCAGTTGCTGTGGTACGCACTTGCACCAAGGTCGCGCAGATTCGAAAGGTTTTGTGGTTTGCCTGAAAATGTTACTTATAATCTCTGGAACAAATCTAATGGTAATAAGTCCCTTTATTGATTTGTTTGTTTGGTTCTCAAGTCCATTTGCCCAAATGATGACAAGACATCACCTATGCCATTACGTTACTTTATACTAGCATCTTTCTTCAGAAGAGTCCGTTCTTCCTTTTGTCCTCTTGAGTGGTGAACAGAACAAACTCGAGGCCTTCAGACAAGCAGATGGCATCGGCGCAAACTCCCCAATGTCGCCCATAACCTTCTTGCACAACGCAGAGACAAAAATCTTGCATTACTTTACCAACCTTTTCCACAGGTTGCCGATAATATTTTCGGTTAATACGAGCTACGCCATCGAAAACCCATCATTCAGATAGATATCTTTATACCAACACTGCATAAAACATTCGGTTATCGCTCCATTAGTGAATCCAGTCAAACAATGACGTTGAAAGAGAAGAACGTGTCAGGCTGAGCAAAGTACTGGATGAAAACGGTTACCCTAAACCGCTTAGTAGAGAACAAGTATCATGATCAACCCAACGACTGGGAGTGGTACCTTACAGTTTTGTTGTCTGACGCCGGTCGGAGAATCTCCAAATTCTGTGCAGTGGACATATTTCTAATCGGGAACGTTCGAAAAAAAGAACATTTTAAAGACATTACTCCAAAACATCACTCGACTCAGCTACACAACGTTCGTTGCATGCAATG